CTGCTGCCACTTAATGGACCTCCAGCCCATGACCCCAGGGACCCCTATGACCCACCCCTCCCCCATACCTGCTGAGGGTTGCAAGGGGTGAAGGGCGGCATGGGGACACCCCAGACCCTACAGACCCCCATGACCTCCCGCCATGATCCCCCCACAATCCCGTGTACCTGCTGGGGGTTGCGGGGGGTGAAGGGCAGCATGGTGCTCACGTGGAACATCACCTCGTAGCCATGGTACGTCGTGTACAGCGAGTGGGTCCCCGTGGAGTCAGCTGGGGGGGGCACGGCCTAAGCCCCTACTCTACCAGAGACCCCGTGGCTCCTCAAGGCCCCATGTCCCCAGGTCTCCCTGTATCCACATCTCCACATCCCCAGCCCCATGTCCTCCCCTATGTCCCCCATATCCCCATGTCCACCTATCCCCTTGCGTCCCCCGTGCCCTGTCCTCCCTGTCCCCACTAAGTCCCCATGTCCCTTCCCCCATGTCCTCATGTTCCTTGCATCCCCTGTGTCCCCATGTCCCTCTATCCCCACAGAACCATGTCCCCATCCCCGTGTGCCACGTCTCCCATGTCTACCCCATCCCTCCACATCCCCCCGTGTCCCCCCGTGTCCTCGTATCCCACCCTGTCCTCCCATGTGTCCCCGTGTCCCCATGTCCCGGATCTCACTGCGGGTGTCCAGCTGTGCCCGGTACCCCTCGAAGCCACGCAGCCTCACGCGGGTGCCCAGCAGAGCCAAGAACTCCTCGAAGGCAGGGCCGGGCCCCTCGTTGTTGTACATCTCCTCCTCAGAGCCCTGCCCCCCCCGGCAGTACAGCACCCCCACCTTGCGCTGCCGGCTCACCTGGCGGGGATGGGGGATGTGAGTTGGGCACAGGGAGTTCCCAGGGAGCGCACAGGGAACACACACAGATCCCTGAACACCCTCAACAGCCTCCCACGAACGCCTGCACTGGTGCAAAACCCATCCTTCTGCAAACTCCGTCCTCGTGCAAGGCCTGAACCCTTGCAAATCCCGCCCTGTGCATGACCTATCCTCGCCCTGCCCTCGTGTGAGCCTCAGGCCCGGTGCAACACAATCCTTGTGCAAGCCCCCCCAACACAAGCGCCCCCCCCCACAAAGCCTCCTCACTCAAGCCCCTCCTCTTGAGTGAGCCTCACCCCCTGCTCGTCCAGCTTGAGGAGGGTCTCCTGCACGGCGGGAGAGGGGGCAAGTCGCAGCCCCCCCACTGCCAGCCCGGGCAGCACCAGCTCCAGCAGCTTCCGGGGGGGGACCCCCCGCACCCCAGAGGGACGAGATCCAGGGGGCAGCGCCTCCTCCAGAACCGACCCCCGCAGTGTCCGTGGCTGGGGGGGATACAGGAAAGGTCAGGGTGGGGGTACCTTCATGGAACCCCTTCACTGCCCTCGGCCCCCCTGGGCACCTCTGAGGCCTCCCAGCCCCTGATGTTCCCCTGAAGCCCATGGGGATCACCTCATAGGGCTTTTGAGACCCCCAGGTCCCCCCACACCCCTGACTTTCACCCATCCCCCTGAACCTGAGCCACCCCCTCCGATCCCCTGAATCCACCCTAGAATGTCTGAACCCCCTCACCCCCTTGTACCCACCCATTCCTTCTGTGACCTCTGGGCCCCCTGATTCTCCTGGGCCCCTCAGCTCCCTCCCTCCCCCCTAAACACCCCCCAGCACCCCCCTCGTCACCTGGCAGGTGCGCAGGATGATCCTGTGCAGCACCTGGGCCCGAGGTCCCTCCTTCTCCTCCCGCCGCAGGGACACGGCCACAGGCCCCAGCCGAGGGTCCTCACCCAGCAGGTTCTGGTGCTCTGGGAGCGAGCCAGGAGGGTCGGGGAGCCATATGGCCTTTCCCAGCCCCCCTACAGCTCCCTGTGACCCCAGCCAGTGTCGCTGCCAGCAGATTCTGGTGCTCCGGGGGATCGGGGGGGAAGGACATCCCCCCCACACCAATTCCCCTGCCCCCCCTCACCTTTCCCATAGAAGTACTTGCGATAGTACTCGGCGCCGTCGTCGCTGTGCTCGATGGGGTGGGGGGGTCGCGCCCCCGCCGGGGGCTCCTCCAGCACTGCCACCGCTGCATTTGGCAGCTGCCCGGGCCCTGGGGGGCCGCGGGGGGAGCCCAGCCCTGGCTCCTGCTCCCCCCCCGTCTCGCAGCAGAAGCGGGGACAGCTCAGCACCAGGGCCTCAGGGTTGGAAGGAGCGCCGGGGGGCCCAGGGGGCTCCTCAGGCTCCAGGTGAGCCGCGGAAGCCCCCGAGGTGGGGCCCGGGTCAGCCGGGGGGGGCTCGGCCGGGTCGAAGAGGATGCTCTGCACGTCGTAGTGAGCGAGGAGGGGGTTCCAGGGGGGGCGGGGGAAAAAATCGGGGTCACCCCCGCCGGCCGCAAGTCCCAACAGCAGCAGAGGGTCGCGGAAGCGGGGGGACGTAGGGACGCCCCCCCCGGCCGCCTCCTCGTGGCTCTGGGTGCGGGCCCGGGGGTACAATATCCCCGGAGACCCCTTCCCCTCTGGGGACCCCCCAAGGGCCGCCTCGCTGCTGCTGCGCTGCATGGGGGCGGCTCCACCCGGCGATGTGGGCGGCAATGGGGTCCCCGCGGCCGCGCTGGGGGGTGCGGGGGTTGGGGGCAGCCGGGCCGAGGGGCCCCGCATCTTGCGGAGGAAGAGGTCGTCGGACTGCATGGCCCCCACACACACACACACTGTGTGTGTCCCCCCTCGGGACCCCCAGGGATCCCCCCGAAATTCCTTAGAACCCTTCTGACACTCCTTAGGACCCCTCTATTCCCCCCTGAGACCCCCAGGGACTATCTAGGATCCCCCTGAGACCCCCCGGGACACCCCTGATCCCCCCTAGGGAACACCCCCGTGACCCTCAGGAATCCCGAGGGACTCTCAGGGACTCTTTAGGACCCTACTGGGAGGGTCTGGCACCTCTCCAGCCACCCAGCCCCCTCCCCGGTTATAGCGGAGACCGGCACCCAGGGATTTTGCAGTGGAAGCGTGGGAACGGAGCCCATGCCCCGATTGGTTGCCCGGGAATTCCCGCGTGCGGAGGCCCCGCCCCTTTTCCCACGCGCCCCTTCCCGGGTCTGCGTCAATGGGGGCAACCCGGGGGCTCGGGGGGACTTCGGCCGCGGCGCTCTCTGCGGCTGGGGGGAGACGGCGGCACCTGGGGAGGGACGGGGAGTCAGTGGGGTCTCGGGGGTGCTCCTTATCCCTCCACGCCCCATCCTCGTGTCCCTCTGTCCCTCCGTGTCTGTCCCTCCATCCCCAGTCAACCCACAGCCCCCTTTGTCCTCCCCGCCTCGCCCACTCCGCTGCAGGGACCCCAAAACAGCGCTGGGGGGGAGGGGGGGGTGTCCCCTGGGACCCCCACGGACACCGAGGTCCCTCCTTCGCCTGGGTCCCGGCCTGCCCCTCCGTGCCCCCCCTCGGCTCCGTGGGGTCTGGGGGGGCTCGGTGGGAAGTTGCGGAGCTGGGGGGGGCTCGAGGCGGGGGCCGGACGCGCCGCCGCCGGCGGTTTCCTGCTTTACAGGAAGTGTCAGCCGCTGACGATCCCCCAAGAGCTGTCCCCAAGTGCTCCCCCCAGGCCCCCTCACTGATCCCCATCCCCGGGGGGTCCCCCCCAGCTCCAGCGACCTCACCCAGGATGGGCCCCCGCTCCTGACCTTGTCCCCGGTGTGAACTCGGGCGTCCGGGTCCCCCCCCACACAACTTCCCTCCTCCGGCTGCAGGACCCGGCGTCCGGCCCCCCTCAAAGGAAACGGCGTCCGGCTCCCCCGACTCCCCCCGGGCGCCCTGGCCCCTCCCCGCCGCCCCCCCTCCGCGACCTGGCTGTTAAAACACGATTAACGACGTTAATCTGGGGGAGCGGGGGGCCGGGGTGTGACGCTCCCCCCCACAGGTACAGGTGACTCAGGGCCGGGCAGGGACTCAGGTGTCCGGGGCGGGGGGGAGACACGACAGCCGGGTGTCCCCACCCCTCCTGGGACCCCCCGGGACACCCCGCCTCCCCCCCCTCCCGCGTCGTGAGTTCCCCAGAGGCGCGAGGGGCGACGGAAATCGTGGCTCCGGGCAAAGGTCTCCCAGAGGGGTCAGTGGGGGGTCGCAGGGGGGTTTAGGGGCTCACACCGGGGTGGGGAATGCACTTTCCAACAACCCCCCCGTGCCAAACCTTCGTGCGAACCTCCCCGCCTCGCTCACTCCTACCTCCGGCCCCTCGTGTCCCTGTCACCCTCCGGGGGGTGTCCCACGCTGCCGGGGGTCCCAGGTGTCCGAGAGGGTCCCAGGTGGGCTGTACCCCCCGCTCGCACGGGCTAGAGCGGCTCGAGGGACCACGGGCAGCCGCGCTTCACACCCCCTCCCTCCCCCCCCGTCCTTCCCCTCCGCCGCTTCCTCCCGCCACAGTGAGTCCGGGGGGGTCCAGGGAGGCTCCGGCGGCCCGGGGCACCCACCAGGCCCCCAACCCCTTTCTGCAACCCTTCCCAACTTGGGCAGCCCAGGTGTTCGGTGCCCCCGCTCCGCGATGCCCTCCCCCCCCCCTCCCCCCCAGCGCGGCGGGAAAACGACAAAAACGACTTTTTGAACCGTTATCAGGTTTTATTTATTAATTTACTTGTACCAACCCCCTCATACCAACAAAACCCCATCGAGAACGAGCAAAACCGAGAGTCCAGCCTTCCCCAGGATCCCCCCCTCCACCGAAATGTCCCAGAGCCCCTGTCAGAGATCAGGTGCCCCCAAATCTCACCACAGGGCTGTACACCCCTAGCCCCCCCAGTTATGGGGCACGACAAGCCCCCCTCCAAGCCCCCTGGGGCTCCTTAGTTATGGGGCAGGACCCCCAAGTTTCCCACTACGGGGCAGCACCCTCTAGTGTCCCTCAAAACACTCCAGTTATACCACTGCCCCCCCCAAGACCCCCCTGTTCTGGGGCCGCCCCACCCCCCACTCTCCTCCCGAGGGGGTCTCCCCTGGTCGATGGTCCTCAGGGCCCCCCTCTCACCCCCTGAGGAGAGTCCCTGGTGGCTGGGGTCTTCCCGGGGGACTGGTGGGGGCTCAGGGCCATGCATAGGCTGCTGGGACCCTCATCCTGGGGGGGTGTTGCAGGGGGGTTGCCAGGCAGGACCTCCCCCTCTGCGCCAGCTGCCAGGGGGCTGTCTGGGGCTGGGGGGATGGCGAGGGTCAGGGGGACCCCAGCACCACCACCAGCTCCCCCGGGGCTCCCTTCCCTCAGCCCCTGTGCCTCCCCCAGCCCCCCCCACCCACCGGGGTGCCCCCCCACCGCGGGGGGGCCGCAGCACAGATGCTCCCGGTCGGCAGCGGTGACGATGCCGCTGGTGCTGCTCCGGAGCTCTGGGGGGGAGGGGGGCACAGGGGGCTTTAGTTGGGGGAGGGACACATCCCGGAGAGGGCCCGAGGCCCAGGGCGGGTCCCAGGGCTGCTCACCCCCCATGTTGTCCATGTCCAGCTGTGGTAGCAACTCCTGTGGGGGTACACACGCACAGGGCGTTGTGGGGGGCACAGGGGGGTCCCGAGCCCAGGGGACGTCCCTGTACCCCCCCCACTCACCGAGAGCTGGTTGAAGCCGCAGAGCTGGGGGGGGGTCGCACGCGGCCACCGGAGCACCGAGAGCTCCAGACCCCCCCCAGGGAGTCTGGGGGGGAGAAATGAAGGCGGGGTACGAGAAGACCCTAACTCCTCATTCTCCCCCAGCCCTCCCCGGGGTACCATAAACCCACAGGGTGCTCCTCCAGCCTCCAAAATACCCCGCGGGTGACCCCGAAACCCCTCTTATGGCCCTCAGGAGCTCCACCCCCAGCCCCTGGGGACCCTCAATGTTCCTCGCCCTGCCCCAAACCCATCATTGCCCCCCCAACACCCCAGAAATGGTCACAGCCCCCCACCCAAGCTCTTACAGCCCCCCCCCAGCTGTCCCCCACCCTCACACGCTTTTGTCACACCCCGAATCCACCTCGGGTGGTGGTCCCCCTCCCCAGGCCCCCCCAGGACCAAGTCACTGCCCTTCAAGAGAGGCCACACAGCTCCCCTGCCCCTCCCCGATCCCCCTCCCCCAAACTCACCCGGGAGGCCCGTCCCCCTCCTCAGGGCTGCGGGGGGGCAGCAGAGCGGCCGCCCCCCCCTCGGGGTCACCCTGGGTGTCCCCCCGGTCGAGCTGCGCGTGGAGCCGGAAGGTCACGGCCTTGACAGCCCCGAAAAACGCGGCCACGACCCCGCAGTACAGAGCGGCCACAGCGGGGGTGGGCGGCAGCGCCTGAAAACGGAAGGGTCAGGTCCCCCAGGACCACACCCGACCCCAGTGGAGCCCGAGGGTCCCCAAAGCTCCTTCCCGGCCCCTCTCCCGCACCGAGTAGAGCCCGAGGGGCAGCCCGAGCAGGAACAGCCACACGTAGAGCCGGACGCAGTTGGCGAAGGCGCCGAGCTGCGGGTCCAGGAAGCAGCCGCCGGTCAGCGAGGCCCAAACGCCCTGGCGGAGCACCTGCAGCGCCGCCGCCCCCGCCATGGCGGCCCCGGGGCCTCCCGGGGGGATCCCCGGAGCCCCCCGGGAGCCCCAGGCCCGTCACCGCTTCCGGCTGCTCCCCGGCGCCGCCGGCAAGCGAGAATGACGTCATGGGACGCCTTACCCGGCGCGACGGGCGGAGCAAAAGGGGAGGACACGTCCCCTCCTGCGCTCGTGGCGGGAACGGTCGCGCGCCCGGGGAGGGCGGGGCCGTTGAGCGGTGGGCGGGGCCAAGCCCCGCTGGTCCCCCGCGGGCCGGGACGGTGAGGGCGCCCTCCAGCGGCGGCACTGACCCCGGGGCCAGGGGGCGTCCCCGCGTAGTGGGACACACATACACGCACACACGGGACCCCCCGGTACCCGGGTCCGTCTCCCCATCGCCGGCCCCGCCGCTCCCCCCGGTTCAGCCTCACGGTGTCCCGCGGGGTCGCAGCGCCTTCCCCCTGCCCGGTCCGGGGGTCCCGGGGAGTCCCGGGGGGTCCCGAGGTCGGGGTTGCGCCCCTCCCCCGCCGGCCCCTCGTCCGGTCCCCCCCAACCCCCGCGGCGTCCGGTGCCCCCGGCCCGCCCCGTCCGGCGCTGGTTCCTTTTCCTTTGTCCCGGTGACAATGTCCCGGCTCCGCCTTCCCGGGGCCGCCTCAGCCAGCGCGGGGAACCGCCGGACCCCCGGGAGCCCAGACCGGCCGGGCCGCCCCCTGCCCCCCCCGGGGACGCCGCCGGACGCCGCTTCCTCCCCCCTCCGGGCCGCGGGAGCTCCGGCGGGACCAGGCGGGGACGGGACGGGGCGCGGGGGGGCCCCGGGGGAAGGGACGGGGCGGAGGGGATCGGGCAGGGGGGTGAGGGGGGCCAGGGTGGGGGCAGAGGGACCCTGGGGCCGACAGAGTCTTGTAGCGGACGGGAGGAGGTTTAGGGACCCCCGGGGACCTGTAGGGACCCAGAGGAGCAACAGGGATCACAGGGATCCCCAGGGAGCTATAGGGACTCCAAGAACCCCCAGGGATCCCCCGGAGCCACAGGGACCTACAGGAGCAACAGGGACCACAAGGATCCCTAGGAGCCACGGGGACCACCGGGCACCCTTAGGGACCCCCCAGGATCCTACAGGTGCTATAGGAACCCACAGGGACCCCTGGAAGCTACAGGGACCCAGGGACCAATAAGGGACCTATAGGAGCTGTAAGGGACCATAGGAACTGAAATAAGGTGTGGAGACCTCCTGGGACCCCCTGGGACCCATAGCCCTCCTCAGACACCCATAGGAATCCCCAGACCCCCATAGCCCCCCTGGTGCCCCAGTGGGACTCCTAGAGCTGTCAGATCTTACAGGCAGCACCTGTAGGGCCCAGGTGACCCAAGTGACCCCCAGGAGCTAAAGGGGCCCCATGGGGTCCCCTGGGCACCCATAGACCCCCTCGGCACCCATAGCACCCCCAGGAACACATAGGACCCCCTAGACACCTCTAGGACTCCCCAAGGAACCTGTGGGCTCCCCCAAGCAGTTGTAGGACCCCCCAGCCCCCCGTAGGACCCACAGGCCCCCCCAGCGCCATCAGCGGGGGCAGGGGCGGGGGGGGAGCACCCCATGGAGTGGGGCCAGGCACCCCCCTCCCCGTCTCCCCCGGGGGAGTCCCGCTCTCCCTCACCCCCCCTCTCCTCCCTCTTCCCAGGAGGGTCCCGCTCCCCTTTCCCTCCCTCCCCGGGAGGGTCCCGCTCCCCGTCTCCATCCCCAGTCGGGTCCCGCTCCCCTTCGCCCCCGGGGGGATCCCGCTCCCCCTCGCCCTCCTCCCCGGGCGGGTCACGGTCCCCGTCGCCCCCAGGGGGGTGGGAGCCGGAGCGGGCCGCGTTCGGGGAGCTGCGGCTGGAGGAGGTGATCGGAGCCGGGGGCTTCGGCCGCGTGTTCCGGGGCACGTGGCGGGGGCAGGTGGTGGCGGTGAAGGCGGCGCGAGGGGACGCGGGGGCGGCGGGGGCCGCGAGCCTGCGGCGGGAGGCGCGGCTGTACGCGCGCCTGCGACACCCCAACGTGGTGGCCCTGCGGGCCGTGTGCCTCGAGCCTCCCCACCTGTGCCTGGTCATGGAGTTCGCGGCGGGGGGGCCGCTGTCGCGGGCGCTGGCGGGGCGCAGGGTCCCCCCCGCCGTGCTGCTGGACTGGGCGCGCCAGGTGGCCCGGGGGATGCGGTACTTGCACGCCGGGACCCCCGTGCCCCTCATCCACCGGGACCTCAAGTCCAGCAATGGTGAGTGGGGGGACGCCGGGGGAGACTCCTGTGGGTACTCCTGGTGATGGGGTTATGGGATGTGGGGTGCAGTGTGGGTTGAGGGTCCCAGTTACTGGGATGCTCAGGGTGGGGGGTCGCAGAGGTTCGGGTCCCCAGGGTGGGGTCTCAGTCCCCAGGGTGGGGAATCCCTGACACTGGGGTCCCGAGGGTCAGGGGTTCTGGAGGCCAAGGTCCCTGGAGTGGGTGTCCTGCACTGGGGTTCCCAGACTTGGGGGGCACTGGTTTCTGATATCCCCAGGGTGGGGATCTGAGACACGAGGGTCCTGGGGTGGGGGGTCTCTGACATGAGTGTCCCCAGTGTGTGTGTGGGGGGGTCACAGACGCAGAGGTTCCCCGGGTGGAGGGGGTCCCTGGTTGGGTGGTCCCTGACCTCTGGCCCCCCCAGTGCTCCTGGTGCAGCTGGTTTTGGGGGTCAGTGGTTGGGGGTCCCAGGTTGGGGGTCCCTGTGGGATCCCTGACCCCCGCCCCCCCCAGTGCTGCTGGCGCAGCCAGTTGTGGGGGACGACGTGAGTGGGAAAACACTGAAAATAACCGACTTCGGCCTTGCCCGTGAGTGGCAGCGAACAACCAAGATGAGTGCAGCAGGAACCTACGCCTGGATGGCCCCCGAGGTCATCCGGGCATCCACCTTCTCCAAGGGCAGCGATGTCTGGAGGTGGGAAAGGGCTGGGAGGGTCCAGAGGACACTTAGGGGATCTGGGAGGGTGGGAACCCACCCCTGAGCTCTGGGCTGGGCTGTGGTTTGGAGTGCCTGGACCCCTGGATGCCTGGGTGGGGGGTTTAGGGGTACATGGACTTCTTGTGTTCCTGGAGCAGCAGTTTGTGGGGTGTCTGGGTGGGGGGTTATAGGGCACCTAGACACCTGGGTCCATGGAGGAGCATAAGGAGATCCAGGGGGGTCCCCGTGGGTTTGGGGGTGTCCCAGTGGCTCTCCATGTGTTTGACTCCCCTTGCCTCCCCAGTTACGGGGTGCTGCTGTGGGAGCTGCTGACAGGGGAGGTGCCGTACCGGGGCATCGATGGCCTGGCCGTGGCCTATGGGGTGGCTGTGAATAAATTGACCTTGCCCATCCCCTCCACCTGCCCCCCACCCTTCGCCCAGCTCATGGCAGGTACAGGGGGACTGGGGACTGGGGGCTGGGGGAGACCTGGGGGCTCGGGGAGGCCAGGTGGGACAGGGGGTGGAGTGACACAGGGGGCTGGGTCCCCATCCTGCCCACCTGCCCTTCGCCCAGGTCATGGCAGATACAGGGCAGGGGCAGGGGGGCTGGGAGGGTTCAGGGGGGCCGGGGGGGGTGGGTCAGGCAGCTCAGAGGGGTTGAGAGATTCTGGATATTGGGGTGCTCAGGGGTTTGGGGGTGCCTGGATTGCTGAAGAGAGGGACCAGGGGATACCTGAGTCCCCTGGCGGATGTTGGAGTCCCCCACAAGCACCCCTAGACCGTGGTTCCCCCCTTAGCCTGCTGGGAGCAGGACCCCCACCGGCGACCGGGCTTCGGGGCAATCCTGCGGCGCCTGGGGGGGCTGGAGCCGGCGGGGCTGGGGCCCCCCGAGTCCTTCCACTCCCTGCAGGAGTCCTGGCGCCGTGAGATCCAGGGGCTCTTCGACGAGCTGCGGGCACGTGAGAAGGTGGGACCCCCAACACTCGGGACACCCCTGGGACACCCCCAACACCCCTAGACCTCCCTGGACCCTCTGAACAATCAGGATCCATGGCAAACACCTGGAGATCCCCTGGGACACTTGGGACCCCCATGCAACCCCCTGAAACTCTGCAGCAGGGCCCGGCCCTGCCCTGGTGCTGCTCGTGGCTGGTCCTCGTCCCTGGGACCTCCTTGTTCCTGTGACCCTGATGACCCCCGTAACCCTGTTGACCCCCCAAGGAGTTGGGAGGAGGCTGTGGCCAGGGCCTAGTGTTCCCAGGCTGCCCGTGTCCCCTCATGTCCCCTCTCCAGTGTCCCCAGTGACCCCAATATCCCCCATGACACCATGTGCCCCCCATGACCCCCGTCCCCCCCAGGAGCTGCGGAGCCGGGAGGAGGCTGTGGCCAAGGCGTCCCGGGCCCAACGCTCCCAGGCCGAGGCGCTGCGGCAGCGCGAGGCTGCCGTGGCCCGGCGGGAGCTGGAGGTGCTGGAGCGGGAGCTGAGCCTGATGCTCCGTGGGCCCCCCCGGCCCCCCCCGGCCCCCAAGCGACGCCGACCCCCCTTTCGGCGGCCGCGGCGGCCTGCGGACCTCATTGGCATGCCCCAGGGTACGGGGAGGGGGAGCAGGGGCTGGGGGCTTTGGGGATCTAGGGGTTTTGGGAGTTGGGGACTTTATGGATGCTGGGGTGGCTCTAGGGGGATTGGAGGGGCAGTGGGCTGTTTGAGCTGGGGGAGTTGGAAGGGCTTTGGGGTTCAGGCACTTTGGGGGGAGTTTAGGGCCCTGGGAGTTTTGGGGGCCTGGAGGGTGTCTGGGGGGCTGTTGGTGTTTGCTTGGGGGTTTTGGCAGGGTTCAAGGGCTCTGCTGACCCCAGTGCCCCCCCAGACTTCAAGCATCGCCTGACGGTCCAGGCTGCGCCGGGAGGGGACCCACGGAGCCATGACCCTGAGGACGGGCCGGGGGGGTCCCCCCCTTTCCCCCGCCTGCGCGCCATCCAGCGTGAGTGATGTCATCATGGGGGGGTGGAAGGTGATTCTGGTGACATCACACCTCCTGGTGATGTCACCCCGGGTGACATCCCCCCTCTATTCCCAGTGGAGCCAGAGGAGGAGGAGGAGCTGCCGCGGGGGCGTGGGGGCAAGAGCAATGCCCCCAACGGCAGGTGGGTCCATGGGGAGATTGGGAGGGGGTCAAGGGGGTCCCATCCCCCTCTAGACACCTGGAACCCCCCCTGGACACCTGGGCTTCCCCCCACAGGCGGCGGCTGCGCCCGGATGAGACCACCTGGTACCTGGACACGGACGAGCTGAGCCCCGGGGATGCATCCCCCAATGGTGAGTCCAGGGGTCCTGGGGGTCCTGTCCCTGCCCCCCCTCACACTGACCCCCACTGTGTCCTCCAGGTGAGGCTGGGCCCCCCGAGGCTGAGGAGGGCCGGGGGTCTCGGGGGGGGACCCCGCGGCTGCTGCGGCGGGCACTGCTGAGGGGCTCGGCCCTGCTGGCGTCCCTGGGGCTGGGCCGTGACCTGGCCCCTCCCGAGCCCCCCCGCAGCCCCCCACCCTCCCCCAGCCTTCTACGCCTCTCGCCCCGCTGGCGGGATCGGACCGTGGGGTCCCCAGAGCTGAGCTCACCTGGAACCCCCGAGCTGGGTCGTGCCTGGACCCCCGCGTCCCCAGATCCCAGTGGAGCCCGGACCCCTGGGACCCCCAGGACCCCTGAGCCAGGGCAAGCCCAGATTCCTGGGTCCCCAGATCCCAGCGGAGTCCGGACCCCTGGGACCCCTGAGCAGGGGCGAGCCCGGACTCCCAAAACCCTGGAGCTGAACTGGTCCTGGACCCCTGAGCAAGGGGGAGCCAGGACCCCTGGGACCCCTGAGCTGCGTCACCCCGGGACCCCCGGGACCCCCGGGACCCCTGAGCCAGGTTGTGGCCGGAGCCCCGGAACCCCCGAGCTGGGCCGTGCCCGGACACCCAGGACCCTTGAGCTGGGGCTGCCGCCATCCCCGCGGGGTGCCAGGAGACCCCGGGAGTTGAGCCCAGGTGCCAGGACCCCCGAGTGGGGTAAGTGGGACTAGGGGCAAGGGACACTTGGCAGGTCGGAGGGGCAGATTTGGGGTGGTTGGGACAGCCATGGGGGGCTGTGGAGCAGCTCTGGAGCTCTGTGGGGCAGGAGGGGGTGGTCACGGGCCCCTTGGGGCAGTTCTGGGGCTCTGGGGGTGCTCAGAGGTGCCGTAGGGCATTTTTATGGGTTGTGGAGGTGTTTTGGGTGGGCCAGGGGGCATCGGGGATCCTACGCCCGCCTCAAGCCCCCCTTCTCCGGCAGGCCCCGCCCGACCCCGCCCCTCACCCCTCCGCCCCCGCATCGACCCCTGGAGCTTCGTGTCCGCAGGACAGCGCCGGGCTCCGCCCCCCGCCGGGCCCCGCCCCCACGATCCCTTCACCGACCAATGAGCGCCCGCGACGCGCCTGAACCCGCCCCCGCCGCCCTCCAGTGACCAATGAGCGGCCGCGACGAGCAGGAGGGCGCTGCCGCAAGCCCCGACGCACCGCGAGGCGCCGTCCCCGCGGGGTCGTGATGGACAGCTGGCAGTGGCGGAAGCCCCGCCCGCCCAGGGGCCTTATTGGTCAAAGTAAAGGGCATTACCAGAGCTCCGCCCCCTGAGGGGCGGGGCCACAACGGCAGGAAAAAAACACGCCCTCTTCGGGCAAACAGGAAGCCCCGCCCTTCGGCGGAGGCCCCGCCCTCGGGCGGTTCCGACACTGGACGGGGGTCCGGGGCGGGCGTGGGGGGGAACCGTGACCAAATAAACTCCCGAGACCCCAAAACCGCCTGAGCCGCCTGCGTCCTGACCGGCAGGGGCCCGACAGCGCGGAGGGTCCTGCATGTTCGGGTGTTCCGCCACCCTTGGGGGTGAATCAGTGGTTTTTGGGGGGGCGTGTCTCATTCTCCCCCCACTCCGGCGTGGGGGGGGTCCCAGCTCTTCAGGGGGGTCCATTCCCCGTCTGGGGATCCCAGGTGTTTGGGGATTCCATCTTCCCCATCGCACTGTGCGAGGTCGTTTGGGAAGTCTCAGGGGTTTGGGGGGGCATCCCAAGGGTTTGGGGGGGCCCATCTCCCCATGGAGGGGTCCCAGGCGTTCCGGTGGGCCCCACTGGGGAGGTCCCAGAAGTTTGGTGGGACCTCATATCCCATCATGGGGGGCTCCAGGCATCCAGGGGGTCCCCATCCTGGCCATGGGACAAATCCCAGGAGTTCCGGGGGTCCCAACGCTCCTTCCCACCGCCCCCCGCACCGAGTCTTCCCGGCCATGCCCGGCGCTGGAACCGGCCCGGCCATCCGGGCTCCTCCCCCCCCCCCCCCCCCCCCCCCCCCCCCCCCCCCCCCCCCCCCCCCCCCCCCCCC